CAAAGCAATCTTGAGAAAGAAAAATGGAGCTGGAGGCATCAGGCTCCTGGACTTCGGACTACACTGCAAAGCTACAGTAATCAAGACAGTATGGTACTGATACAAAAACAAAAATATAGATCAATGGAATGGGATAGAAAGCCCAGAGATAAACCCACACACATATGGTCACCTTATCTTTGATAAAGGAGGCGAGAATATACAGTGGAGAAAAGACAGCCTATTCAATAAGTGGTGCTAGGAAAACTGGACAGCTACATGTAAAAGAACGAAACTAGAACACTCCTTAACACCATACACAAAAATAAACTCAAAATGGATTAAAGACCTACATGTAAGGCCAGACACTATAAAACTCTTAGAGGAAAGCACAGGCAGAACACTCTATGATACAAATCATAGCAAGATCCTTTTTGACCCACCTCCTAGAAAAACGGAAATAAAAACAAAAATAAACAAATAGGACCTAAGGAACTTAAAAGCTTTTGCACAGCAAAGCAAACCATAAACAAGACGAAAAGACAACCCTCAGAATGGGAGAAAATATTTGCAAACGAAGCAACTGACAAAGGATTAATCTCCAAAATATACAAGCAGCCCATGCAGCTCAATATCAAAAAAACAAACAACCCAATCCAAAAATGGGCAGAAGACCTCAACAGACATTTCTCCCAAGAAGATATACAGATTGCCAACAAACAGATGAAAAGATGCTCAACAGCACTAATCATTAGAGAAATGCAAATCAAAGCTACAGTGAGGTATCACCTCACACCAGTCAGAAAGGCCATTATCAAAACATCTACAAACAATAAATGCTGGAGAGGGTGTGGAGAAAAGGGAACACTCTTGCATTGTTGGTGTGAATGTAAATTGATACAGCCACTATGGAGAACAGTATGGAGTTTCCTTAAAAAACTAAAAATAGAGCTAACATATGACCCAGCAATCCCACAACTGGGCATATACCCTGAGAAAACCATAATTCAAAAAGAGTCATGTACCACAATGTTCATTGCAGCACTATTTACAATAAACAGGACATGGAAGCAACCTAAATGTCCATCAACAGATGAATGGACAAAGAAGATGTGGCACATATATACAATGGAATATTACTCAGCCATAAAAAAATGAAATTGAGTTATTTGTAGTGAGGTGGAATCTGTCATACAGAGTGAAGTAAGTCAGAAAGAGAAAAACAAATACCATATGCTAACAAACATATATATATAGACTCTAAAAAAAAAAAAAGGTTCTGAAGAACCTAGAAGCAGGACAGGAATAAAGATGCAGACATAGAGAATGGACTTAGGGACACGGGGAGGGGGAAGGGTAAGTTGGGACGAAGTGAGAGAGTGGCATCGACATATATACACTACCAAATGTAAAACAGTTAGTGGGAAGCAGCTGCATAGCAAAGGGAGATCAGCTTGGTGCTTTGTGACCACCTAGAGGGGTGGGATAGGGAGGGTGGGAGGGAGTCACAAGAGGGAGCGGATATGGTGATATAAGTATACGTATAGCTGATTCACTTTGTTATACAGCAGAAACTAACACAACAATGTAAAGCAATTATACTCCAATAAAGATCTTAAAAATAAAAAAGAGATGACTGGATTAAGAAGATGTGTGTTTGTGTGATTGCGTGTGTGAATGTATATATAATGGAATACTACTCAGCCGTAAAAAAGAATGAAATTCTGCCATTTGCAGCAACATGGATTGACCTAGAGAATATGTTTAGTGAAATAAGTCAAAGACAAATATTATGTGATATCACTTACATGTGCAATGTAAAACACAGTACAAATGAATGTATATGCAAAACAGAAACAGAGTCACAGGTGTAGAAAACAAACTTATGGTTACCAAAGAAGAGCAGGAAGGGGGGGGTAGGGACAAATTTCAGGTATGGGATTAATAGATATAAAATACTATATATAAAATAGATAAGCAACAAAGATTTACTGTACAGCACAAGGAATTATAGCCATTATTTTCTAATAACCTATAATGGAGTATAACCTGCAAAAATACTGAATCAGTATGCTGTACACCTGAAACTAATATAATACTGTAAACTGAGTATACTTCAATAAAAATAATAAATTGGAGGTAATTTATTTTTGATTAAAAATAGGTTCCAATAATTTCTTGTATAACTAATGTCATGTTTTCACCGTAAACAAAAATCAACTTTGTTAATTGGACAAATAAATGTCCTTAACTTTTTCTGATATCTAAATGATGAATCTAAAAAATGTCACTTCCTTATATTAGTCACCTACTTCCCAACCTAATACAAAGAACACCTCATTAACTGTATTCAGACATTGGGTATACCATTGCTCACTACAGCTTTCTTCAAATGTTACATAAATGGCAAGAGGTAAAGTAAATATCAGCGAAATGGCATCTGTATCCCAAAACATCTTTCTCAGATACAAAAACATAGATAGCGAGAAGGTGCAGTAATTCTTCTTCTTCAAGCCAACTAAAAAAAAAATCCCTATTTGCTATGTTTACCATACCTACTTATAAGTTTAACAGTGGGATCAAAGGAGACACATAGTATTAGTTCAGTGCTAGAAATTATTTTCCAGTATATCCTGATACAAAATTGTCTACCTCGACTACTAAAACATGAAAGATTTCATGAAGTCAATGCCCCACAAACATACATCTTGAAGGTAATTTCCTTCATCAAATTCTAACCTCTTAGCCTTTGTTAAAAATTGTACTGTGTTAGCTAATGACTTAATAACCACATAATCAGTCAACACCTTTTCCTTGTGAAACCTTTTATATCACCAATTTCCTAGATACTATATGCAATATAATTATAAGTGATAAAGTAAAAAAATGTAATTTTATTACATTTTAAATACTTGAACATATTGGCCTTATCTATTACTAAATAGGAAATGTTGTAAAAATGTAATGGACAATAAAGTTGAATTTGTCTACAAAGTAGCAACTAAAATAGAAGGATCTATTTCAAATTAAAGTGATACAGATATTATTACATTAATATGTAACTATTCAAAAAAGTAAGAGTAGCTTAGCAAATGTATGGGCAGATAGAAGCTAATATGGATTTTAGAAAAAAAAAATTATTAAGTGGAATTTAGTTTCAAACTCTGAAAAAGAGAGAATGCTCTACTAAATATAGTCACTAAAAATATTTAGAATAAAAGCAGGGAAGCTGAATTTACACAGAATGTAGGTTTCCTTTGCTGTAAAACTGCCATTTTATGTTTCTACAAAAATCAATTTGCTAAGGCTCAAAGGAGGACCAAAAGTGGAATACTCAATGTGCAAGCAACTCATATTTCTCAGAATCAATATAAATTTAGATGATTTTCATATCTCTAAGAAAATTAATCAGATTTTAAAAATATCATGTGCTAGGAAAATTTAAACTGAGTCAAAGAATAATGACTGCCAGGTAAAGTCATTAGCTGAATAGTTTTCTCCTTATCCAGAGGAATGGTTAGTATTAAATCTTGGATGTTCAAAAATATATATTACAGCAATATCATTAAAAAACAGTAATTATTCATTTTTAGATATTAATAGATACGTTTTTAAACCTCAAACATTCTATTTTTTGAAAATGTTATCACTGATTGTAAAACTTGCTATTATCCAGAACTTACATTTCAGCCACAAATAAAAAGAGAGTAAAACATAGGGAAAGATACTCAGGATTTCGAAGATATGAAGGAGACATCTCAAGTACCTAATTAATAAGAATTTTATAGAGCACAAACCAGGTGTTTAAATGGTGGTAGGTACACAGAGATTGTAAGCTTTGACTTACTGATAAAACAAAACACAGAAGATTACAGGGTACTGCAAAATAATGTTCAGTGCTACAGATGTGCAAAATATGGCAATATTGGCCTGAACTATAAAAGTTAGCAAGGAGCTGTACAAAGGAGGTGGAATTGAGTCAGAATTTGAACAAAGAGTAAGATTCAAACTGGCACTGAAAAGGGTATTACTATAGGACAATGCAAAGGTCTGAATATGTGAATGAATGGTAATGCATATTTATTCCAGCTATGCATTCTCATACTGTTCCTAAAAGTGTAAAAAATCATAATCCAGGGTTTCCCTGGTGGCGCAGTGGTTGAGAGTCCGCCTGCCTATGCAAGGGACACGGGTTCGTGCCCCGGTCCAGGAAGATCCCACATGCCACGGAGCGGCTGCGCCCGTGAGCCATGGCCACTGAGCCTGCGCGTCCGGAGCCTGTGCTCCGCAACGGTAGAGGCCACAACAGTGAGAGGCCTGCGTACCGAAAAAAAAAAAAAATTATTATCCACAAAAACTGATAGGAAAGTAGAGGCTGTGAACCTTCGGCATTATATCCATTTTCATATTAAAAAAAAAAAAATCACACATTTTTGCTGTCATCTTCCAGGTATCCTGAGAGGAAAAGTTTTATAATCTTTTTTTGCTTATATTTTTTTTCTCTTTTTTTTTTTTTTTTGTACTATGTACTATTTTGTACCAAATGTACTATTTGGTACATTGCTACCATCTTCTTTATATCTAGTAGGCTTCTATTTTGTTCTTTAAGATTTAGTTTCCCTTCACATTTTAAACAATTGAGTAATAGAGTATTATTTCCTTGCACTTATTGCCATTACATATTTGAAGTCTACTTCACTTTGTCATAATTTATCCCATGTTTCCTTTGATTCTATACTATAAAACGTCACATTTGTCTCATTCCTACACAGGAGGAAACTGATTAATTTGAAGGTAATTTAGTTACAAAAGGTTTTATTTCTATTTTGTACTAATGAACCACCATGAACTGCCCAAATTAAACATGAATTAAACAGTTTAAACCCAAACTGCCATTCATTTAACTGTAAATCGATAACTCTTCAAGAAACTAATGGCTCCAATCCCTTATCCTCTCAAAGAATGAGAATATTTCCTTGCTGTTGTTTTATGGAAGAAAAATGAAAATTTCAAGTATTTACCATTTCCAGTTTCTCTACTTTAAGGCGAACAGAGGGATTTAGGGAAATCTTCTTTCCTTGTGGTCCATAATTATCAGTCAAGGCAGGGGCAATATCTACGAGACAACAGGGTACACATTAATTGGAAATTTAATTGGAATAGAATTTTTCATTTGACAGGATGTGTTCTGGGCTCCTGAGGTTCAGAAAGAATTCTGGCTAATCAGTTGGCAGTTTTCACTTTTGTTTTCATGATTTTTTGTTCTTTAAATCTAAAATGTATTATATAAACCAGCTTCACTTAAGCCTTAAAAGACATGATATAAAAAGAGTGGGCAATTATGCATTAGGTCACACAGAAATATTAACACAACAAACATACATCCCACCAGTTACCTTGTCATCACAACAGCTTACTAATTGCAAAATGAAAAGTCTTTTTTTTCTTCCAAAATAAGCAAAATCATATTAGAAATTTTAAAAGGTCATGATTTTTCTCTGGCAAAAGTGGTTTTGCTACATGAGTTCTGGAGGTACTATGGAAAAACTCACAAATGCAAACTGTTTCAAGTTTGCACATAAAGTATGATATAGGCTCAGAACTTCTTGAACTAAAAATCCTATTTCTTATTTTACAGAAGTTATATTCCAAGTAGCATAAATGGATTCTCAAGAGTTGAGTGTCATACACCTCTCACCCATTCTCTAACGCCTTCTCAGTCTACCCTGATTATTTAGACGAGCTATGTCCTTGTTGCCTGAGTAAAAAACAGGTGTCACAAGGGACTAGAACTTGAAAAATTATTTGCCTTAATATGCCAAAGTTTCTCAAGCAAATTCCTGCAATTCATGTCAATCCTTATATCTAAATTGTCACCATTCTAAATACACTTTTAAATGGTATTTTACTAGTTCTACATAGAAACAAGAGGAAGAGAAAAAACTTTTTAAAATGTCACATTTTTATGCAGCGTTTTAATTTTTTTTTATTTCTCAGAGCATCTGTCTCTAAGTACAAAATGATTTGCATTCTCTTTCTTAAGAACATAAGAAGTGCATAGGAAAATAAATAGTCTTCCTCTAAACCTTTAACGCTTCCTTAACATTCTATGTAAAATCTTGAATATAGCTTATAGGTGTCAAGATCATGAAAAAAAAAATGGTTACTGACTTTTAGCTTTAAATGGAAGTCAAACCTAGAGAAAGACTGATTTTAGTATAATACAATTTTTACAATTTTGACATAAGCAACAAAGACGCCTTAGTTGCTGTGATACCTAATTGTTGGCCAAGGGCTAAAAATATATTATACATATAAAATTTTTTTCCTCTTAAGAGAAATTTTGTGCCAAACCTAAAGTGTAGCATAAAATATCAGCATGGAGTGAAGTGGTTTGGAAGCCCAAAGAGCGGGTAAGTCAAACCTTATCTTTCATTTTTAGGGTTTGGACATGTGAGGCTTGACAACGACTTTCAGTCTGGTGCCTGACCTATCATTAAGGCACAGTAACACAAGGTGGACCCAAGCTAACCTAATTATGATTTCAGACCAAGACTAACCCTGGGTGTGAATTACTCAATTCAAGTGTGTGTGGAAGGCATAGAGAGAAGACAAAAGAGAGGGAAGGATAGGGACTCACACCAAGGTGTGGGTTCTCACTTACGTTTTCCTACATCTAAGCATAAAAATTTGCTATGTGCAGCAGTGGAAATAACAGATTAACTCTTATTTATGCTTACTTTTAGCCAGGCATTACACTAAGTACTTTATATATATAAGCTCATTTAATCTTTACAATAACCACAGTGACACAGGTGTTATTATTTCCAACCCAAGAATGATGAGACTAAGGCCCAAAAGGGTAAAGAAACTAGCCCAAGATCATACAACTAGTAGGTGACCATGTTAGGATTCTAATCTCTTATGACCCCTGAAGACAATTTCTTAAATGTGTCAATATCTTTCATCACCAGTTTTCTCATCTGTAAAGTAGGAAGAATAAAACAGATCACCTTACAGGAATTGTAAAGGTAAATTAAAAATCATAGAAAACTACTATGAAAACTATAAAGTAGCGTTAATAGTAACACAGACACACAGAGATTTAATAGGAGATTTAATGTAAACTTATAATAATCCCCCATTTAACAATATGCAATCATGGCTTAACAAAACCTCACTTTCTTCTAGCCAAACTTCCCCTAAATCTTTACATTTGAGCCAAAACCTTAGGAGGATGTGGACATAAATCCAGCAGGCTTTGGTAATTCAAGGTAACTTGACCTGAAAAGCTCTCCCACAGACAGTTTTCCTCATTTGGCAGTGTCCTCTCTCACTTTCAGCCTTGGGCTCTTTATTTGCTCCTCTCTGGGAGGGGGTGAGAACTTTCAAAGTATGGCTTATTATTCCCTTGGCTCTTCTCTTCCTATTCCTCTTTTTAGGAGCAGAAGAAAGGAAATGTTTTATAAGGGTAGGATCAATACCATTTAGTTAATACCATGAACCCTCACCATGGATATTTTCCCCCATACTAGTTTGTTTTCACTTTTAAAAGCCTTATTGCAGGAGAATTAAGGCTTGTGTGGTGGTAAAGTTAATGATCGTATCCCTTCACGTAGTAATTCTTTACTGATTTCCTTAGGAATGTCTTTAGCATGTTTTTAGCTCACTCACAAACTCACGCATTATTCAGCATATGGCAGTAGTAAACAACTCTGGATTCTGAAATAAGAAATTCATATAACAGAATAGTTTCGAAAAACATACTCAAGTATAATGTGAATTTTAAACATTCTAACCAGTTTTACACTTTGGAATGCTTTTGAGATGACTTGCCTCATTAAGTTTATTTTTGTTGAGGTTAACATTAAAACTCATTTATGTTTTTTAATAAATACCAGCTGGCTGAAGGAGTCTAGATGTGATGGTTAAGGATCTAATTTGGGAACAATCTATAATTAACTACGTATAACAGACAAGTCACAAGGTATATAAGTTACCTAGAGATAATTTAGAGTTGACTTTGCTTTGTTTTTCTCCCCAGAAACATCTGGCCTACTACATTTATGTGGAAGAAAATGGTACTGAGTCAATTCCATTTCTACTCTAGAAAAATGTTCCATTTTACTTGCATTTTAATATTTACATACAGTTAACTCACTCAAATACGTTTTTCACTAAATTATTTTTCTATTACAAAATCTAGCATCATTTCTTATAGTCACTGATGTAAATTTACCTCAGTTTTGTTCATTACTACAGGATCTCCTTGCTCTGATCACATTTGCCTCCTAGGGCCACCTGACATGTAGCTTGACCTAACTTCTTTGCATTTGATGATGATGCCTCCTTCACTTAGGATGATCTGTTACCTTCATCCATCTGTTGATGTTTATCACTTCTTTCAAGATCCAGATGATGTCTGACTTTTGCCAAGAAATTTTTCTCTATTGATTTCTGCATATTTTGTGACAAATTCTTTACTATGTACTAGCTTCTGGGGTAGAGGGGGAGGATGCAAAATTGAATTAAAGGACAGAAGCTTTCACTTCTGCTCTAAAAAAGATGCCCTGGAATATTATCTGAGCTATACTCTAAACTTCAGGTTCTGTAATATTAATAATAATGACAGCAAAATGTACTGAGCATATTCTATGCACCAATTACAAAGTGCTTGACATACATAATCTTGTTTAATACTCATAACAAACCCATGAGGAAACTATTTCAATATAATAAGCTAATTCAGCCAATAAGTTGGGAGCAAAGATCTGAATCTCTACGTTTTCATTCAGAGCCTGGTGACTAACCACTGTGTTTTCCCTATATCACACTCAGGTCACTTACTACTTCTTCCCTTAATCTACTTTGCTCATGTCTTTACACATCTTGTGCAAATGTGTTATTTGTCCATAAGACATATACTTCTTAGAGTACCAAAACCACCCCCCCCGCTCTAGTCAACACAGAACACTGCAAATAGTCTAGTATTTATTCAATAAAATAATCACACACGCACACACATAAATAAACACACACACATATGTGCTTTCTAATCTGAATAATGAAGGTTTTTAATCCCACATTTTATTTCACAATATACTATCAAGTATCTCATGGAAAAAAAATCCCAGTTCCTTCATATTTTCTACCGAACTATGAAGCACATGACATACTCAGTAAATACTTACTGAGTAAATAAATTGGCTAAAAGAGGCATCAAGAGAATGAGAATTAATTATGTAAAGGAAATAATACTAATAAAGTTTCTAAGGGTCAACAAATTCCACTAAGTAAAAAGGCATATAATTGACAGCTAAAGATTGTTCCTAACCCACTGGTAAATATTGCTCCAAATCAGAGAAACTACTATGAAATTCACTATAAATTCCTATTAAGTATAGGAGCTATGTGCTATGGTCTGAATGTTTGTGTCCACCCGAAATTCATATGTTGAAATCCTAACCTCCGGAGTTGAGGCCTTTGGGAGGTGCTTAGAGCATGAAGGTGGAGCCCTCACGAATGGGATTAGTGTTATTACAAAAGAGGTCCCACAGTGCTCCCAAGAACTTTCCACCATGTGAGGACACAATAAGAAGCCTGCAACCACAAGGAAGCTCTCACCCAGACCATGCTGGCACCATGATCCAGCCTCCAGAACTGTGAGAAATGTTTGTTATTTATAAGCCACCCATTCTGAGGTATTTTGTTAGAGTAACCCACACAGACTAAGACACTATAATTTCTGCTAACTCTTCTTTATTTTGCAGTTTTGATCTACACAATGCTATTAAAAATTAAAGTATACGAGTAACAATTTGCTTTATAATTTAGACATGTAATTAACTCTTCCTTTCAATAAGTATAGTTTTTGTTTGTTTGTTTTTATTGTTGTTCCCTTTAACTTTTGGAGATAATTTAAGGGAAGGAATTTTTTCTTGATATTTGAGCCTACAAACACTTTACAGATTGATAAAAATCCTTTTTTTATGGGTAGCTTACACAATTAATCCTTTACTGTTTTGAAAAGTCAATAAATCATTTCATGCTAATTAAGAACCAGTAATACTGAATTCACAATACTGATGTTCTTTCTAATTTATGTCTATATAATCTCTTCCAAGAAAAACAAAACATACTTCTTTTCTTAAGCTATGCTCCCTTCTATAATTTCCCTGAAAGGTGCATTTAATATACCTCACGAGGATTTCACTAAAAGGGCAAGGCAGCCTAATCTTGAGTTATAGAAGAGTTTTCATTATTTTGTTTCAACAGTTCATTGATTATTACAGCTTCATAGACATTGCGATGATAATGCATCTTTTAAAATTTCAACCCTTTGTTCAGGAAAATTTCCAATAAAAGTCAAAATCTAACAGGGACCGCTGCACAATGGATTCATTTTGCTCTTTTATTCAATGAAGGAAAAAGGCATAATGCACCCTTCTTTAAAGTCTTTTAAGTCACATTATGTACTCCTCATTGAGAGAGTAATTGAAAAAAATAACAGGAAAGAGGAATTAAATGTGCATTTACCTGTATTAGGCATATCTGTAGGGCTGTTGTCTGAAGAAGTAATTGGAATCTGTTCTGTTTTCTTGTATCCAGTTTTAATCTATGAAAGAAAATGAGGAAGGTGAAATGTCATTTTCTAAAGTAGGTCAAAAACCAGACGAGAAGCTCACGTTAACATAAAAAGAATGATTAAAGAGATTAAAGCAATAGTCCCCCAAATATAAAACCTTTAAAATTTTGGTATATTCACCTTCAAACACAGCAATTCAGAATGAAAGTAACAACTGCTTTCAGCTCTACCATACCCAAGGACAACAAAATATAAGGCTATGCACTGTGTCTCTGAAAAGGTATTATAACCCCAAATGAGAAAGTATAAAGGGCTAAGAGAAAATCTTAAACTCTGTATCTGATTAGCATGGACCAGAAACTGAAATTACTTTTGATGAATTTTATTGCACTGACTAAAAGCCTACCTGATTTTCAAGTTTGTTTTATAGGGTATACACTCTATTTTATAACTCATTATTTATGGCACCGTTGCAATTAGTAATTACAGTCATCCCTTCATATCTGCCATTTCTGCATGTGCAAATTCAACCAACAATGGATTAAAACTATTCTTTAAAAATTCTAAGAAGTTCCAAAAAGCAAAACTTGAATTTGCCGCATGGGCAACTATTTACATAGCATTTACACTGTATTTATTTACAACTATTTACATAGCATTTACACTATATTAGGTATTATAAGTAATCTAGAGATGATTTAAAGTATATGGGGAGGCTGTGCATAGGTTAAATGCAAATACTACACCATTTTATACAAGAGACTTGAGCAGCCTCAGATTTTGGTATCTGCTGTCAGGGTGTGGGGAGGTTATCCTGGAGCCAATCCCTCCACAGATGATGAGGGAGGACTGTAATTATATCGATTTTGATGTAGGAACTCTCCCTTTCGTGTGATTCTAGGGTGAACTATTGATATATTCCAGCATACACACATGAGGGAACAAAATCCACCTACACTGTACAGGAAAGAGCTGAGCAACAGAAAGGAAGATTGCCTGTCTTCAGTCAAGCAGAAAACAGAAAAAATAATGAACAGAACCATATTAGAGACTATCTGAAAATAAATATAACTTTCCATATCATAGTTTTGAGTGATATCTAGGCATATCTTTGTGATGCCATTACTGATCATGATTTTCTGGACAAACAATATATTGACTTGAAAAACTGTATTTATTGACAGCATAGCATAAAATCTTAAGCAAAGATTGGTATTTCAAGGAAATACCAATCTGTTAACAAACTATATTACCAAAATTATAGTTCTATATGTATATGACAAACATAATGACACATAGGGGATTTGTGGACTACATAAATAGAAAAATTTAAGATTACCTGATTTATCTTAAAAGAAGATAAAATGGCATCTGTAGATTTGGGAGTCGATGAGGTCTTTGGAATTAGTATTTCAGGGGAAGAAGAAAGAAGACTAAATTTTGAGGCTTGAGGTCCATATTCTCCTGTAGCTTGTAAAAGGGATGAACACGATGGATTTTCTAAATGACTGCTGTGAGATTTCTGTCTTATGAATGCTATCTCCCAAGCAGATTCTGACCTAGTATTAAAAAGAAATCACTTTATGGATATAGTACAATTGAATTCTAAGATAATGTTTCATATATTATCAAAAAATACTTCTTTTGGGTCTAAAGTACTAGGACAACTTAAATTTCTATTTTTAGGGAGACATGCTAAATGACTCATTCTATCTTACAGATAGAATAGTTACCTCAACTTGGCTCTGGTAATTATGCTTTTTGCTTCTTCAAATGATACACCAATCATAGACTCCTTGTTTATTGAGACAAGTTGATCTCCTGGTTTCAAACGTCCATCCTAACAAAAATAGTAACATTTGTAAAGAAACTGATTAAGGTGTTTCTTCAAAAGTTAATTGATGCAATTAAAGCAAAGCACAGTTTTAGTAAAGAATGACTTAAAGAAAAGAGTAAAAAGAAAATTTTAGACAAAGAACCCCAACAGCAAAATGGTTTGATTAAAGTCTGGTTTGGTAATATACATGAATGAAATGGAAATGTTCAAGTACTCCTTGAATAAACTTTCAGCCTAAGGAATCCTGAATATATGAAGACATAGTCTGGTACACTAGGAAAGAGGCCTGTTTTAAAAGGTCAGTTGTATGAGACAAATACAGCTCTGAATGTGATAAAGTAGGCTAAATAATTCTGGTATATTTCGGAATATAAGCCTCATTCACTTCAGTTTCTGAGCATTCCTTTATCTTTCATCCCACCAAACACTGAGTTATTCCACAGTTAGAATTTTTAAAAATTCAGTCAAGGAGCTTAATTATATTGATTCTACCCACATTTCTATTCATGGTGAAACATCTTCTTCACTGGACCTGCTGCCCCTCCTGTGACTCAGGCCCAGTTGGTTGGACAGGTAGCTTTATTCACATCCTACTAATAACGACCAATTCTAATTGGCTGCCTGGCATTGTCTTTGTCAAGTCCTGGCTCTGCCTATAACTAGCCTAACTGAATAAGACAAAGCACAAAAGTTACAAAATTGAATGTACATGTTAGGCAAGCTTTCTCAGTCTTCATTTGCCTTTTCTTTTAATTCAAACTGGAAAAGAAGAATGAGCTCTCTTAATTTTCAGCTCTTAAGATGCTTCTCCATTTATCATTAGTACAAACACAGAAAGCATTATTTCTATAACTAGGGAAGAAGCTTATATGGTTAGAAAGCATTTTCACCCTTGATGGTATTTAAGTAAATTCCACAAATTCAAGGAAAGATCTTTTAAAAAGTCTTATCTACTATGTATAAAATAAGTTTTAATTAATAGGATTAACCAGGGAAAAGAGATGGTGAAGATAAGGGGATGGAAGGAAGTAAAGAAGAAACATATTACCATCAAGGAGGTAGCAGGATAAAGACACAGAGATGAGAAGCAACATATAGTGTGCAGGGGACTATAGCCTTCAACACAGTGTTCAATTAAAAAGTGTGAGCCAGAAATCATGAGAAATGAGGATGGGGAAGTAGGAAGAGTTCAGGTATCTGCAGGCCTTTGACCCCAAGCTATCCCTGGGATAGCTTCTGCCCTTACTGTTTTTGTTTTCATACTGTAAACATTACCTAAGTATTATTTCCCACACTTCCTTGATGAAAAGAATCAACTGGAGTTATAAAAAAGGTCCATGTTATGAGACCCCTCTGTTTGAAAGTCCGATACAATATTGATATATCCCTGAATAACTGATCTTTGGTCTGAACTGCATTATATGTAATAAACGTATATAATATATAATAATGGTGATTTATGGTTACTTTACTTTTAAATAACAATAATGTTTTTTAAAAAGACCTTTACTGGGCTTCCCTGGTGGCGCAGTGGTTGAGAGTCTGCCTGCTGATGCAGGGGACACGGGTTCATGCCCTGGTCCGGGAAGATCCCGCATGCCATGGAGCGGCTGGGCTCGTGAGCCATGGCCGCTGAGCCTGCGCGTCCGGAGCCTGTGCTCCGCAACAGGAGAGGCCACAACAGTGAGAGGCCCGCGTACCGCAAAAAAAAAAAAAAAAAAAAAAGACCTTTACTATTATCTCTCACACTGAATACTGAGTATACAAGAAAGCAAAATAAATATAAAATATTTATCAAGAATTTTTATGGGAACATGTTATTTCAAATATTGTGTAATGAAAGATATTATAATCTAAATGCATAATGACCCTATGACCCTTCTGAAATATAAACAAAAAAATCCAAAAAGGCAATTTGATTTTAAAATATATAAAATTTGAAAACTAATTTGGATTTTATAGGTATGTGATTAAACATAATTAGCAAAGTCAGAGAACACACAATTGCTATATTCACAAGTGATTTTTTTTTTTCTCCTTCCATTTGATAGATGTCTGGGGAATAAAACACAATAGTAATGCTGGAAAACGCTAAGCAATATGGAGGAAGTATCTACCATATGGATCCTAAATGTTCAGTAAAATGAAAGAGCTGATTTTGTAAGATTTTATAAACACAGTTCAGTATTACCTGGGCCCAAGCCTTATGACAGACTTTGGTTATATATGCATTTAAATCAATTATACCCAGACTATACTTAGAAACTTAGGTACAAGAGCTTTCAATTTAATATGCTAAATATTAGTTTGAGGATAACTCATTCCTTAAGGTTAAAGTGAAATGGTAACAAACAAACAAACAAAAACAACCTTTTTGCCACAGGCAAAACGATAAGGCTAATAAAAGTTAAGGAAGAACAAAATTCTGGAGAGTGCTTATTTCTGGGAGGGAGGGTAGGGAATGCAATGGGGTGGGGGGAAAACATATAGGAAGCCTTAATAGTAAAATTTTCTACTTCATAAGTCAAATGGTGAACTCTAAGTGGATTCATAGGCATTTGTTTCATTATTATTCTTCATAAGTTAGATATATGTTCCAATATCCTTTTGTATGCATAAAATATTACATTATTAAAAAGAAAAGAAATTTTCCAGCCCATCAAAAGAAAGCTCATGACATTTGCCTCAACAATGTTCCTAACCAGATGAATTTTATTTTGGTTCTATATTCCAAAACTGGCATTGGAAGTAAGGGCCAAATAGAGGTTCTTAAAATCTAATTTTAAAATAAATAAAATTAAATAAATGTCATTGTTAAATCCAGCTCTAGACCATTTGGGATCTGCAAAAAAAATTCCTCATTAGAATCAGCTTAATAAGGTAGATTATAACTGAAATTTAATGACTATTCTACTACTGATTTATGTCCCAAAGCCTGGAAGTAATTTGAGGAAAGAAAGGGAAAAATGAAGAAAGCCTTGCTTCATTGGAGCAAAGCATTTAAAGGGCACTGACAAGGGAAAAAAGGTTCTTTTAGAATTGGGGTGGTGGACAGTAAATATTAGGTTATTTTGTTTTAATCTAAATATTCTTGGTATTAAACTGCCTTTTATGGAACTTCCTTGAAAAGGGAAAATTCTATAACGAGGACTATAAGCCAGATGGCACCTCATCTGTCTTCTAGTTGGGCAGCAGTCTTCAGAGGCAGTGGACTGATGAGGAAAAAAGAGCACGAGTTGTGGCAACCAGATAGATTTGAATTCGAATTTGAGCTCCACAACTTGCTAGCTAGATATTCATAAACAATGAAAGAAAGCTAAGGAAGGGGATAGGGGAGGTGCACAATCTCATCTACAAGGAACACGGAACTAAATTCTAAACTGTCGGAGACAGCTCCTCTATCCATGTATCTTATAGAAACCACAGTTGGTTGACAGCATTACGGAGAAAAAGCCTTCAGAAAACAGAAGCCTCCCACATTCGCCTCTTGCGCCGCACAGTATTAGCCATGCAGAGGAAAAAGTTCTCAGTAAGGCAATTTAACACATCTTATATTAAAGTACACCCATCTACTGAAGTAGCATTTTCCAGGAAGACAAGAGTCAGAGAAGAGAAGAAGAAGAAAGTCTCTGACTGTGGTTTCTGGTGTTTATATATATTTTTGTTTCTAAAAAGTACTCACAGCAGTTGTTTTTTTTTTTTTCTTTGCCTCCTAGAATAAGATCTTAGCTGATCATGTGAATTTCTGAACCTGTTTAAAAGTCAGAACCTGCAAACTAAAACAAAGCTATTTCTGTAAAAGTCTGGCATTCAAAGCCAGTGAATTCTGCCCCAGCTGGATTAATGTGTCTGTGAAGATAGTAACTTCAGAGAGGCCTCTTCCACACTGTCTAGATTCTGGTTCAGCACTTATTGAGCAACTACACAACATGACAGGCAAGGTGCCAAGCACTTTCACACACCTAACTTCAGTCTGAATTCTTTCACATTGACATTTATAAAGATGTTGAAATAATGATGTATTCTTGAACACTTGCATACTTTCATTAAAAGCTGCCAACACTGTCCATTTCAGATTATAATGACCATTACAGTTTTCTAAATAATGTGTTACCATAACCATATATACAGCCTGATTCTAACTCATTATTCCTAAATACTAAGGAATGCTCCTGCAAGCCTTTGGATTCCTTTCCCATACTTTCATAAAGGATGAAAGTCAATGGAAGTATCACTTTTTAAATACCAGTTATTAACATGAATTTAGGCAATTCGTTTAATCTCCATGAGACTCATTTTTTTAGCTGTGAGGTGGGGATAAGTACCTATTGCACAAGGTTGCTGTGATAAATAACGTATATAAAATCCTAGTACATTGTAGGTGTTAAATTGAAGTGAGTTGAATCAGAATCCCATATCTGTTGCAGGCAATTTTTACAGTAATAGCAAATTTAACCCTCCCACTCCTCAAATTAAGAACCCTTTATGACTGCCCACTTGTGGGAAAAGCTGAACTGAACTTCCCAAACCTAGCACAACAAACTAGCTGCAATCTACTTTTTCTAGCCTCATCACCTACCTCCCCTCCTCAGCATACAAATTCTTCATTCTATTCTCAGAAAGTGTTCTTCAAATCAGCCACGGTCTTTCAAACTTTAATTCACTTACACATATTAATTCCTATCTAGAATGCCACCACCCACCTTGCCACTTCTCTGTCTGATGAACTCTCATTTAAACTTCACAACCAAATTCAAACATTATTTCTGCTGTAAGTTTTCTCCATCTCCCTAGATTTACTTAATTGTCCCCTTCTCTTTGTTCCAAATGCACTTTTACTTATCTATATTATTGCACTTACTCTGTACTGTCCTTATTTGTTTACATATCTTTTTTTCCATTGGAGTATATTAATTCAGCAACTCCCAAATTAGCAGCATTGATTCTTTCAGTTGACCAGAACTATGTCTTTTTCATGGTTATATCTCTGAGCATAGTGCCAG